CGGTCCTCCACAGCAGGTGATGCTTTAACAAAATGAAAGACTTTAAATACTCAGTTGACTGAGTGAGGAGGAGAGTTTCTTATTAGCAGATGACTTTCTGGACCATGAAAACTTGCTCTCCAACGTTTAGAAGCGTAGATAGAACGATTAAAAAAGAGTTCGTAGGCGGGAAAAGTTGCAGTAAGCAATGAGAGGTAATTCACTGCAGTATAGGTAAGTACGATTGTCCTTGAAAATTGGCGGTAAGTGCGCAGATGCGGCTTATGTGCACGTGCGCGAGAGCGAAACAACACTATGAGTAGATGTTGTTCGGTAATTTGGTGCAATCCACTGAACACTCAAGGGATCCATAAATTGATATGACAAAGTAATGTGGCCATCTGATGGACGCTTTATCTACTTCTCAGCTGATATGATATCTCGCAGATAATTTTGTCGGACAGGCACCTTTTCCGATTTTTATGGGCACTTGCCTTTTTAAGTTGGCGCTGCACTTATAAATTCACTAGACTTCTGCAAACCCGAGATTTTTGTTGGATGTATCCGAAATCATCAATAACAATAGTTCTGTAAGTTTTCTTAGATCATCGATCCAATAATTATTCCGTTCTTACTCGATATTATGTCAAATTCTAATTTTAGGAACTGTTTTCAATTTTTTTCCAATATTCACACCCTTATAAAAATTACAAGCACTTCCCGACGTCCAATCAAAATAAATTCGCTAAATGGAATAAAGCAGGATTCACTGCGGCTTTTCGAAAACAGAACTAAAGTGTTGCGAAAAAACCCGCGAAGAGCTGGCAGTTGTCAGGAAGGTATGCCGTACATCGCCCAACAGGCCAGATGATGAAGAGTCCGTGGGAGTGCCATCTATAATGTAGACCATAGGTGCTTAAGCAGGTACCTGGCCATTAAGCCAGTGTTGTAATCACATCGTGTCCGGCTGTGAAGAAGAGTGGTTCGATTCTCTCTGGCTCCATAAACATGGACTCCGTCTGCGAGACAAGATGCTGTGGCTCTGTGAAAAAATTATTTCCTGATGTCTTTTGACTCGTTTAAGCATATTAGTTGGACACTTCAAGATTGGGTTTATTTAACCTCCTCTATGTGCTAATACTTTTATGAGCAGAAGCATGGGCGCAACTGCATTGTTAAACCACCTGATTAAATGGATTTAAAATGATCAGTTTGTAGCGTTACGCGAACGGTGACTTGTTCTGGAATCCGTTTGAAAATGAAAACGCGGAGTACGATGAGGTAAACAGATAAATAGCTAGATGGATGTTTGCTAGAGGCAGCGCGCCTTACATCCTATTGCTTCATTTGCTTTTACAAGCTTTTGTCGTGCTTTTAATTAGATGTGTTAAAATAGATGTGGGTGTTTTAGATGTTCTTTACAGATTATTTGTTTTTACACAAGCACTTTAGTCATTTTTCATTAGCCCTTCACCTCTTTTTTGCATTCTGGACTTAGTCCGTTGGTAGCAAAATATTTGAGTTCTTCCGCAAATTTCGCCTGATCATCGTGACAGCAGAGAAGTCCTGGAAAGAAATTTAGAGATATTCAAAAATTTCTCGAATTCTCTGATGTGACGTAGCATTAACGTTTTTAGGCTTTTCGAACTTCTAACACTTTAACAGACCACATATGGCTGAGAAGGCCTTAACGAACTTGACTAACTTTGCTTGGGCTGTAGAAACAGCTAGCTAATTGCTCATGAGTGCAAGATGTGCAGAGAACAGTATTTGGGGATCTGAAATCAGAAAGTAAGGGGATATCGAACAGTCAAATTAGCATGGCACAGTGTGTTCTCGACAAACATAACGATACATAACCAACGTTAAACAGAAGAGTTCTGTGTTTTTGAAAAACATTGCTAACGAGCTTTTGCGAATATACTTCACTGTGCTCACATTTTTCAAAATGTTTTTTCAAAAGTTGTTAAAAGATCGATTAAGAAGGTAATAATGAGCTGAACACGGCAAGCTTGAGTGCTCGCTTTAGATATCTGCATGATATTGCACAGATCCATTGAGGACGACCGGTTCGTGTGGAATTGTAAGATTTACAGTCTACTTTCTCGAGAAAAAGGCTTGAAATTTCTAGTTACCGCATTTTGCCAGAGTATTGTGCCACGTCACTGGCACATGCCAGAATATGTTTTAAACTGAAATTTCACGAATAACTTTGGAAAATACTAGTTAAAACTTGCTTTCAGGCTCAGCAGCTGTTGACGCCGGAACGATCACCTCGTTATGAAAGTAATGTCCGACGCGTTTCGAGCCCCAGTTCGATGAGTGACGATTACTCGCGCTATCGTATGTTCAAAAGCTTTTGATGATTAGAATTTTTATGACATGGCAAAAACTTTATAGAAAGAGTTTACAAAAATGCTGTGGAAAGCAGTCTTCAAATTCAAGTAATAAGAAATGTTAAATAGACAAGGGTCATTATTGGACAGCTATGACAATTACAAGCAATCAAGATAAACGACGTTCCAAGTATAAAGCTTAACAAAAGAAAAACAGTAGAGATAATAACTTTCCCGCAGTTTCGGGACGTTTTTTTCAGGCTAAGTTTTTTATGCGTTTTTTGCAGCTATGCAATGCAAAAAACGCATACTGACGAGGCGTTGTCTGTGTGTCTCTGTGTATCTTTGTGTATGTGTGTGCGTCTGTCACGGTTTTTCATCTCAAGACCTACAAAAGCTACAGGGCTGAAACTTTGGGAACTAAATCTACATGCACGTACGGACCCCAATCCCCAAAATGGGCGTTATTACCCGCGTGCTACCGCGTACGCGCCTGCCAAACTTTTTTTGGAGTAAGCTCATAACTCGGGGATCTGAGAAGCTGGGAAGCTGAAATCTTAGGGAGATCTTTCCCGTCCAAGTAGGTATTAATGAGCTCAAACCCAACCACTGGGTAGACGTGGTACCTCCATACAGACCCGCCAAAATTTTTTTCGGGTAAGTTGATAACTCGAGTAGCTGAGAAGCTAAAGGATTGTAATTTTATCCCCGTCCACCTAAGTTCCATTCAGCTCAAACCCAACTCTCGGGTACACGCACGGGCCCATGAAAGTTTTTTCCAGTAACTTGTTAACTCGGGAGCCAGGGAAGCTAAAAAGCTGAAATTTTAAAGGAGTGTTTTCTGACAGTTCTGGCGGCCAATCTTAATTTGTTTAGCTAGAAGCATTTGCCGAAAGAGCCGACGCCAGTAGCAACAAAAATTGCGGGGAACTAAGCAAGAAACGCATCTTCGCACGGGCAGCCCGTGCGTTGGCCAATTATCATTCACACTGTATCACCGCCCTTCTTAAATCGAATTGAAACACTGACTATCGGACAAGTCGAGGAGAAAGAATTAGTGGGGCGCAATGAGTCATGAAATTACGCATGGCCGAAACATTGCGGATTCAGTCTGTAGTGAATGATATTCTCAGGATAACATATGCCTGGAAGAAGTGCTGGGCTGGTCATGTGGCAAAAACGGGGAAGACAAAAAGGCTAGAATTCAGGGCTTTCAGATAAAAATAGGTATCACTCCACTGGGCATACGGTTGATATAATTTATTACAGGGGCTCCGCCGTGACAATCGTTCAAGATTTTAATATTCTTCTCCATAACTTTAGAAGATTTCCGTCTTTTTACTGTAGCAGTGTTGCGATTTGTTGAAAAAAAGGTTTTAAATTTGTAGAGCGGAAACCGTCTCGTTCTCCGGAACGTCCAG